AAGAGATGAAACGATTGAATTGGGGATAAAACGATGATGATCGATAAACGATGATTGCTGATAAGGATGATGATGATAACGATGCACTGGGGATTATACGTATGATGTTGATAACGATGATGTGTGATAGACGAGGGGGTGATGATGATAAACGATGATGGTGATAACGATGACTGGGGATCAGGATGATGAATGATAGAACGATGGTAATGGGGATCAACGATGATAGCTAATGCTAGATCGGTGTTGATGGCTGATAACGAATGACTCTGGGTTATGGAGAACAGGGAAAAATACATAAAAACAAACCACGACAGATCAGACCTAGTGAACAGAAGTGGACCGGCTGAACAAGCGCCAATGACAACATAGAATGAAACAAACTAGCATAGAACAGGTAGGGCACAAATGCACCCGTTTAATGTAATCATGTACGAGAAACGACTGAAAGCTTGATCGAAGGGTGACAGCATAGGACGAATGAGTAGGTGGACTAGACGATCCGTCAGCACGATCAGCCGGCCAGAATCCATGGCAGTGGCGAGCCCTCTGTTGCAGGATATATGCCCGCGACGCGGCTCGAGGTCTCGGGGCAGGTCGATCCGGCGAGGTGAGAGGCGTGCAGACAGTAAAACGTGCTGCTTGAGGGTCCGCGTGCCGGCGCCGCGCCTGCCGCCGCGAGCGCCGACCGCTCCGCACGGCAGCCCCTCGGCGTACGCGAAAACAACCGAGCCACCGACACAGGTTAGTGAGGCACCGGCGGTCGTCCTCTCTCACCGGCGATCATGTAACCAGCGCTGAATTCATGTCACGGCGTGAACTGTTCATGTACGACGTGAATGTCATGTACGGCGGCGTGAATGTCATCGTACCGGATGCGTAGAATGTCATCGTAATCGAAACGTGAAATGTCATGTACGAAGCGTCCGGAATGTCATGTACGGGCGTGAATCGTCATGTACGGGCGGAATGGTCATGTACGAGCGTCGAAATGTCTATGTACGAGCGTGGAATTTTCACGTACGAGCGTGAATTGTCACGTAGCGAGGCGTGAATGTCCACGTACGAGGCGTGGAATGTCATGGTACGGAGCGTGAATGTCATGTCGGGCGTGAAATGTCATGTACGGGGCGTGAAAGTGTCATATGTACGGGCGTGAATTGTCATGTACCGAGCGTGAATGTATGTACGGGCGTGAATGCTCATGTACGAGCGTGAATGTCCATGTAACGGGCGTGAATGTCATGTACGGGCCTGACTATGTCCTGTACCGGGCGTGAATGGTCATGTACAGAACGTGCAAGTCTGCTTGTGTACGGTGGACCCCGGTTACAGTGACAGTGCACCCTTACTGTGACGGCTTATCGACAGTCATGCCAGGGACCCTTTATCAACAGCGCTTTATAACAGTCCACAGTGGAAACTTATCACACGCAGGCTATCACAGTCAACAGTGCAGCCTTATCACAGCGGCTTTATCACAGTCAACCAGTGCACCCTTATCAGCAGCGCTTTTATCACAGTCACAGTGTACCTTATCAACAGGGCCTTTATCAGCAAGTCACAGTGTACCTTATCACAGCGGCTTTATCACAGTCACCAGATGGCACCTTATCACAGCAAGCTTTATCAGCAGTCACAGTGGCACCTGCACCTTATCAACAGGCGTGCTTATCACAGTCAGGCAGTGGAAACCGCTTATCAAACAGCGGCTTTAGCAATCAGTCACAGTGCACCTTAGCACAGCAGCGTTTATCACAGCAACAGTGGGACGCTTATCACAGCGGCTTTATTCACAGTCACGCGCGGGACCTTATCACAGTACTAGTGCTTTATGCACAGTCACCATGAAACGCTTATCAAGCAGTACTAGTGGCTTGTATCACAGTCACAGTTGACCTTTATCACAGTACTAGTGGCTTTCCTCACAGTCACCATGGACCTAGCCAGCAGTAGCTAGTGGCTTGATCACAGTCTATCCGATGTGACCATATTCACAGTACTAGTGGCTTACAAAACAGTCTACCATGGACCGTTATTCAGCAGGTAAACTAGTGGCTATCAACCAGTCTACAGAGGGACCGTTCTCACAGTACTAGTGGCTTTTATCACATGTCCAGCACGGGGACCTTATCAACAGTAACTCAGTGGTGCTTTGATCACAGTCACATGGACGCTTCATCGACAGGTACTGAGTGGCCTTTCCATCATCACGTTCACAGCGGGACGCTTACTCATCAGTACTAAGGGCTTTATCTAGCGAAGTCACAGGGGACCTTATACGACAAGGTACTTCAGTGGCTTTATCACAAGATCCACTATCCGGACTCACAGACAGGGCTTTACCAGTCACCATGGACCCTATCACAGTACTAGTGGCTTTAATCAGCAGGCCACAGGGGACCTTGTCAGACGGTAAGGCTTTGTCATCAGTACTTTGTTTAGCCGCATAACCGATGCACAGTCTTCACGACAACTACAAGGGCTCTAGATAGCGCCTCGCATCCCCTGCTGGCTGTGCTGTGCACTGGTAGTTTCAGGAACCGGTATAGCTGCAGCCTGCAGCAACACGACGCCCGTGGAAGGCGTTACGAGGCGACCGGCTGATGAGAAGTAATGGCCGGCCGCTCTTGGAGCTGATCGCCGCACGCCAGCGCCGGACCCTGCATAAGTCGGCGTAATCTCAAGGTGCGTCCCTCAACCGCCACCGCCATCGCTGCTCACACGTACCTGTCTGTATTATTATTATTATTATTATATTATAATTTTTATTATTGTTTTATTTTTAAATTTTTTTTCCCACTTTGTCATATCTGCTTTCGCTAAGTGAAATCTAGAAGCGGAGCATGTCTACATGCACTCATACTACGCCACCTCGCGCTTTCCTGTTTCGTTATCTCCGCCCGCCATCGACGGCGGCTCGCGGTATGCATCGGAAGTAATATATTGTATATAGATCTCCAGCCTTCGGCGTGGTGGAATAGTGCAAACGATCGTGTTCCACTGAACAAGGTTTCAGAGGCGAGCGACGGAGTCGTTTGAGTTCACCTGGCTCTGAGAGGGGCGCCAGTCCCTGCGACAGCGAACGTGCCAACGATATCGCTCCCACAGGCATCCGCCAATCGTCGGCACTCTCGGAAGTCCACGACTCGGAGTCGCTCGTTAAGTTTGCACAGGCTAAGACGGTTCTCATCGACCTAAGTTCTTATTCGTTATTTCTTCTTTCTTAAAGAGTTTCCTTCTTCTGTCCACTCCCCATGCTTTAGCTCCTTCTCCTTGATCTCCTTCTAATTCCGTCTTCGTCTGGTCTCATTTGTTTGTTTTGCGTCAGTTCCCATTATGTTTCTTTTTCTGATTCTCTCCAGTGATAGCCCTTATCGGATGTTTTCTCCGCTATCATCCTCCCTTCGTGTCTTCAGATAATATTCACTTTGGCTGGGGGCAATTTGCATTCTCGATCTACGGCCTCTTCTCTCGCTCGCAGCGCTCCGGTGTCCGACGCGGTTGCCGTGGTAAACCGTCGCGCTCGTTGCTGCAGGCTGGAGCGATGCGGAAGCGGTCCGTGCGAGCCGTGTCAGCACGAAGAGCAACCAGACGGCAGTTTCCGCTCTCAACGCTGGCAGCCTCATGGCGACAACGCCGAGTCTGACACGACGTCCACTACATCTTCTGGAAGGCATCATCCGGTAATTGCACGCTGATAGCGCTCGCAGCATCCTCATCCCACGCGCTCGGCAGCATGCCTCATCCACAAAATGCGCGTCGGCAGCGATCGCTCATCCCGCGTGCATGCAGCATCCTCGTCCCGACGCTCGGCAGCATTCCTCGATCCCAACCGCCGTCGCGCACATCCTCATCCCAAACCGCGGCGCGTCGCAGCATCCTCAATCCACGCGCGATCGCAGTCATACCTCAATCCCACGCACGTGCGCAGCAGCCTCATCCGGCACGCGCTCAGCAGCATCCTCATCCCACGCCTCGGCAGCATCCTCATTCCAGACGCGCGGCGTCCGCAGCATCCTCATTCTTCCACCTCCTGCTTCGCAGCATCCTCATCCCACGCGCTCGCAGCATCCTCATCCCACGCGCTCGCAGCATCCTCATCCCCAACGCGCGATCCGGGCAGCATCAAATCATCCCACGCCGCATCAGCAGATCCTCATCCCCACCGCTCGCAGATCATCCATCACCCGCGCTGCTCGCAAGCAATCCTCATCCCACGCGCTCGCAGCATCCTCATCCCACGCACTCGCAGCATCCTCATCCCACGCACTCGCAGCATCCTCATCCCACGCACTCGCAGCATCCTCATCCCACGCACTCGCAGCATCCTCATCCCACGCACTCGCAGCATCCTCATCCTCACGCGCCGTCGCAGCATCCCATCCGCACAGCCGTCGCAGCATCCTCATCCCACGCGCATCGCAGGCAATCCTCATCCCGCCGCATCGCAGCGATCCTCATCCCGCGCTGCAATTCGCAGCATCTCATCCCGCGCGCACTCCAGCGCAGCATCCTCATCCCGCCGCGACGAGTCGCGCGAGCTCCTCCATCCCACGGCACATCAGCGACGCAGTCTTGGAAGAACTCACAAGGAAAGTTTTTGACATGAAAATCTAAATAACGTCTGTACCGCAATAAGCAAATAACATCGACAGAATAAAGCGATGCTGATAAATAACGATAAAAAATAAACGACTTCGTCTGACAATGGCAATCAACGACAAGCGACATTTTCAACATCGCTGCAATACAGACACAGACCGGTCAGCGCGTGGGACCAGATCGCCAGTTTCTGGAGGATTGCGTTCTATTGATGCTGTAGCGCAGGAGCGTGACATCGTCGGCATGGACCAAGGACCCACCACGAGAATGGATGGACAGGTAAGTCATAATCATACTGCCCTTACCTACTTTCAGGTAGGCACAAGGTAGACTGGTCGCAATACTGTACATTGCCGTTGACCCTACCCTCACAGCAGCCATGCTCCATATCTTTCTCTCTATCCTCCCAAATCTATGTGACGCATTGCTCTAAAACACCTTCCCTCTAGCCTTCTCTCCCTATCTCTCTCTCTCTCTCTTTACTCTTCCTATGGCTCCACTCTAAACCGCATTCCCCCTTTCCCCTCTCCCCTCTCCCTCTCCCCCTCTCTCCGTCTCTCTCTCCCTTTCCCTCTCTCTCTCCCCTCCTCTCTCTTTCTCCCTCTTCCCCTCCCCTCCCCCTCCTCCTCTCCCTCCCCTCTCCCTCCCCCCTCTCCCCCTCTCTGTGCTATACTTTCACTCTAACCCCGCTCCCCTGCGTCTACTCCTCCGTGTAGGTACACGTCGCTCAGCAGCATGGATCAGAAGCGCTTGGAGATGGATGAGGACAAGCTGCTTGCTCGCATGCTCTACAACATGGTCGCCTTCATGGTCATGGTGAACTGTCGCAACGCAGAGCTGAAGAAGAAGGTGCGGCGGCTGCTCGGACGCTCGCATATCAGTCTCAGTCTTAGCCAGGAGGTCAACGACCTGCTGGACAACATCACCAACCTGGTACGTCGCCGCCCCCGCTGCCGTGGGATGCTCTGTTGTTCTCTCGTGATGTTTTTTTGCTGACATTTTGAAATTTGGATTTTGAAGATTTCGATTGAATTGAGGGCAAATCGTTTCTGTACCTCTTTGGTTTTTTGTAGAAGAAGCTTTAATTTGATTTACATTAATGATGTCTGTGCCTGCATGGCTTGTTGTCTTTGAGACACATGATGACGATGATGATAATGACGATGTTGGTGATGATGATGACGGTGACGATGACGATGTCGGTGACGATGATGACGATGTCGGTGACGATGATGATGATGACGATGTTGGTGATGATGATGACGGTGATGATGATGACGGTGACAATGATGATGATGACGATGTTGATGATGATGATGATGACGATGATGGTGACGATGATGATGATGACGATGTCAGTGACGATGATGATGATGATGACGATGTCGGTGACAATGATGATGATGACGATGTCGGTGACGACGACGATGATGGTAATGGTGACGGTGGGGATGTGATGATGCGAGTCATTGCCATGAAGACACGTAGTGTTGTGATGGCGCTGCCGTGCTGTCACCGGCCCAATGACACGTGACGTCGTTGTTTCAGTATGGCAACGACATTGACCTCAAGCCGATGGGCAGCCGCCAGATGCACAAGCAGTCGTTCACCGTTCACAAGGGCACCGAGGCGACGGGAGAGATCCTCTTCATGGAGGTTCGCAATCGCCCACATCCTCCTCCCTTAACATCCTCCTCCCTTACCATCCTCCTCCTTTAACATCCTCCTTTCTTAACATTCTCCTCCCTTAACGAGGATCATCCTCCTTCCTTAACATCCTCCTCCCTTAACATCTTCTTCCCTTAACATCCTCCTTTCTTAACATCCTCCTCCCTTAACATCCTCCTCCCTTAACATCCTCCTCCCTTAACATCCTCCTCCCTTAACATCCTCCTCCCTTAACATCCTCCTTTCTTAACATCCTCCTCCCTTAACATCCTCCTCCCTTAACATCCTCCTCCCTTAACATCTTCCTCCCTTAACATTCTCCTCCCTTAACATCCTCCTCCCTTAACATCATCCTCCCTTAACATCCTCCTCCCTTAACATCTTCTTCCCTTAACATCTTCTTCCCTTAACATTCTCCTCCCTTAACATCCTCCTTTCTTAACATCCTCCCTTAACATCCTCTTTTCTTAACATCCTCCTTCCTTAACATTCTCCTCCCTTAACATCCTCCTCCCTTAACCATCCTCCTTTCTTAACATTCTCCTCCTTTAACATCCTCCTCCCTTAACATTCTCCTCCCTTAACATCCTCCTCCCTTAACATCTTCTTCCCTTAACATCTTCTTCCCTTAACAAGGATCATCCTCCTTTCTTAACAAGGATCATTCTCCTTTCTTAACATCCTTCTCCCTTAATCTCCTTCCTTAATATTCTCTTTATTTAACATCCCCCCTATTTACCATTTACTTATCATTTACCCATACCTTACCATTTACCCATACCTTACCATTTACCCATACCTTACCATTCTTAACATCCTTGCGCGTTAACACATTATTATTACTAATGTAATTAATTGCCGTTTGCCATCACTATACATTAACACATTATTAATAATGTAATTAATTACTGTTCGTTGTTGTCGCGCGTTAACACATTATTAATAATGTAATTAATTGCCGTTCGTTGTTGTCGCGCGTTAACACATTATTAATAATGTAATTAATTACTGTTTGTTGTTGTCGCGCGTTAACACATTATTAATAATGTAATTAATGTTATAATGTTGCCATGACTACCCCGTGGTGACCTGATGACTCTGTATGATGACATCATGCTCACCCCACATGAGCCTGACTGGGTGGTGGCGTTGCCGCGGCGATGGTGTGTATATTACAGGTGTGTATATTACAGGTGTGTGACGATGCAATCATGCTGCGCAGCATCTCTGGACTCATTACCGAGCGATGGTGGTACGAGCGACTCGTTAACATAACCTTCAGTCCTAAGACGCGCGTGCTGTGTCTGTGGAGGCGTAGCGGCGGGGAGACGAAACTAGACAAGTTCTACACGAAGAAGGTGCGTGCGTGCGTGCGTGCGTGCGTGCGTGCGTCTGTGTCTGGGTGTACGTGTGCACACGCGCGCGTGCGAGTGCGAGTGCGTGTGCGTGTGCATGCGTGCGTGTGTGTGTGCGTCTGTGTGTGTGGTTGGTGTGTGTGTGTGTGTGTGTGTCTGTGTGTGTGTGTGTGTGTGTGTTATGTATACGTTCGCCCGTATCGGTTATCGTGTCCTTTTTTAAAAGCTGTTTTTAAATTCTACGATAACGATAATATATATAATGATATACATAGAGTAAGAGAGAGAGCAAGAAGAGGAGAGAGAGAGAGAGAGAGAGGAGAGAGAGAGAGAGGAGGGAGAGAGAGAGAGAGCGAGGGAGAGAGCGAGAGAGAGAGGAGAGCGAGAGAGAGAGAGAGGAGAGGAGATAGGGAGAGAGAGAGAAGAGGGAGAGAGAGAGAGAGAGAGAGAGAGAGAGAGAGAGAGAGAGAGAGAGAGAGAGGAGAGAAAGGAGAAGAGAGGATAGAGAGAGAGAGAGAGAGATGAGGAGAGATGAGAATAGACAGAGTGGGATGATGAGGACGATCGGAGAGAGAGAGAGATGAGAGGAGAGAGGTGTACGACAGACAGCAGACAAGATATATAGATATTAGTATGCTTCTTTGCTGCAGTGTCGAGTACCTATACAATGCAATAAGGGAGCGATGACGAGCGCGGCAGCACGCCTGTAACAATCCCATGCCAGGTTAGCATATACTTCTCTATCGCAGCAGTCACGACACTTCACCTTGTTCACTTGTTTGCAGGGCTGTCGCCAGGGATGGACTAATGCTTGTAATGTAGGAATGAATCGAGAGCTAGTATCTGAGATTTACGGGATCGAATCGAGATGGGTTATGTGTATCGTTACAGGTCTAGTTGTTACTGAACACTGCATTCCACGTATTTTCTTTGTGTGTTTTCAGGGCCGGACTTGGGGAGGTTCCGTGCAGGACGCCTGAACCAGGGCTGAGGGTGGCCTTCTCCAGGTGACCATCAAAGGTGTGGGACTTTCTTTTTGCCGACCAGACAAAAGATAACGTAGCAGACGAGAAGCCCTTCTAGCTTCGCTGACCTTCAGTATCGACAGGTCGTGGCTGCCAACAAGGAAATGCGATAATATTCCGTTAGACTAGCCGATCGACGATATCGACAGTTAGGCCTGGATTGATGTCATATCTGATTAGACTAGTCTGGATCTGTTTAGTTCTGATTAGCGCTTATCTTTGTATTCATCTTACTCTTTTTGATCTCTCTATATCTCAAAATGTGTTTGTCGGCTTAAGATTGTTTCTTTGGGTGCCAAATAAATCATTCAGTATGTGTTGGCCTTATGCTGAATGGCGTGGGGCGCGTTTGTGGTTCTTCTCTTCTCGGTGTGTCCTTTTCTCAAATGCCGATTTTTGTTTTTTTCCTCCGATTTTTTTGCTTGAAGTTTTGTTTTGTTTTTCTTGATTTTCACGAGAGCGCTGCGGCGCTGTGTCCGCCAGTGGCGCTTATTCATAGTCTGTGTTTCACTATGTTCGTGAGCGACTTATGCCCCGGTGGTAAACACAGCACCCGTCGTGGTGGCTATGCTGTTCTGATACAAACTAGGGTGTAGTCCTAGTGTGCAAAATGGAGAATATTTCTTCGTGTAAACATGTCAAATAGGGGGTGCAGCGTTGCTGCTTTCTGCGTAGCTGTTCTGTCGTTATTGGTGTGAAATGTTTATAAACTTGAGAGCCCGGGGTTCCCAGCTACAGTTGGTGCCAAAGGCTCGTTTATATATTTAAACAAAAGTTAATACGTATAACAAATTTGCGAGCATCCAAAATTCCCATTCTATTGCGGCTGCATCGCACGTTTTTTTTCCGCGTTCTCAAGTGCACGTTTATTCGCCGCCCCGCATTATGCGGTTTAATGCTTAATTGCCCCCCAGTCATTTCATTAAGCTACACCCTCACGACCCTGATATCATTTCATATTAAGTTGTAGTTATGGCCGAATACAAACATCTCAACAGATGCAGGTTGCGCGATTAAGGTGCTAAATATGTATATATGCTGCTGCCATTTCCTGTTGAAACTAAAATGAAACTTAATTGCTGTTCTTTTTTTTCTTTATGCCTTACCTTTTCTGTGGGTCTTACAGGATTTGAGTACTCGCATTTTTTATTTCTTGTACGTGACATGATCCCTTAGGTTGCACTTGGTGCCAACCTTGATAATGCAAGTGGGTGCGCATGCACACACCGCTGCATAGTCTCGCGCGTGCAGTAACCACAGACGCATCACTACACACAACAAACTATATCACACAACGTTTGCGGCGCAATCCAAATGTACACACACGAAACATGTACACAGATAAAAACGCGCAGACACACAAACACGCATATTAGTAGTTTTAGGATGGGTTGACATAGTAGTCGTTGAAGTTGCACTATTTCTGTTACATCTGACCAATTACTAAAAACAGCAATGTCCAGGATATTGTACAAGATACTGTACGAACGCTACAAGTGTGGCATTGTTTGAAATTTTGGCAAGTAGGTTCTCAATTTGTCTCCAGTTAATTTTTCGATATTAGTAAATGCATGATTAATGCGATCAGCAGAAGCACCGATTTTGTCTCGTGGTACGAATTGGCAATTTGTTTCTGTGCTTGGTTTCTTAGACCAGAACAGTATTCAGTAGTATGTATAGTAGTGCTGACCAGTGTGGGTCGTTTAGTTCTCGTAAGTGGAATCGTAGTGCGGTTAGTTGCTTGTGTACGTTAGAGTTCACGCTCAGTTGATCCTATATTTCCGTTTTCGTTCGGAAATCTGTATTCTTTATGCTTTGGTGCCACCGTGTGGTAGTGAGATGCGGTGTAGCCTGCATGTCTCTTCGCGACTTGGTAGTCTAGTCTGTTGCCTGCTCCGATACATTTTCGGTACTCCCCCCAACCCATGATTAGTTATGGCAGCGAGGCGCCGCTTCGTCGTGGTTGGCTGCTTCCGGTGTCGACGCTCGTGTCGTTACCATGCCGACTGTCTTTGTCGACCTACCTGAGACGCAGTTGTCTCTCGACCCCGGAGGCGTGGTCTCATTGCTGATGCTTATGCTTTGCGCGCGCCACCGTAGGCACCGTAGCTGGAGCACGAACGTAGACATTTTATGACAACACCTTCACGCTCAGACATAAGTGCTGCTCTTGTTGCTCCCAAGTACTAGCTCTCTCCTTCCTCCCTCCGCCATCCCTCTCCCAGTCCCACAACATTTCCTCCCTTCCTTCTCTCCTTCCCTATCCTCTCCCCGAGTCCCACAAACCATCCCCCCCTCCCCTTAGTTTCACCCACCTCCCCTCCACTCCTCCCCATCCCTTTCCCCAGTCCCCACCACCATCCCCTCCTCCTAGTCTCACCACCCCCTCTCTCCTCCTCCCAGTCCCACAACCATTCCCCCCCCTTCCCTCCCCCTTCCCCCATCCCTCTCCCAGTTCCCCAAACCATTCCTCCTCCCTAGTCTCCCCACCTCCCCTTCCCTCATCCTTCCTCCTCTCCCCAGTCACCACACTTCCCCTCCCTCCCTAGTCTCCACCACCCTCCCCTCCCCATCCTTCCCATCCGTTACCCAGTCCCCACACCATCCCCTCCTCCTCTCCTCGTCTCCACACCTCCTCCTCCTTAGTTCCACCACCCACTCTCTCCTCACCCTCCACCACCCTCCCCCTCCCTTCCTCCACTCCCCTTCCCCTCCCCTCCCTCCTCCCTCCTCCCTTCCCCTTCCTCCCCTCCCTCAGTAGTCAGTACACGTAGGTACGACGCCAATCAGAAGTGGCCGCCTTGGTGTACCTTAGAGGCTTGTTTGCTCTGACGTCACCACCGTGGTTGCTGCTCATGCAGACCTGTAGCATAGAGGCGCGTGCTGGCGTGCGTTGCGTTGCGTGCAGTGGTGCGTGCGGCGGTGTTAACGCTCTACGGTATGTTCCGCTACAGCGGTAGTACAGATAATTTATAGCGATTACTATAATGTAATTAATTACATGGTATTGTTTGAATGATTATTATGAGCTCAGTTGCTCCTTAATTTCTTATTGTGTCGCGTCGTATATATACTGATGCATAGAAACTGATCATGGTATTTATTGAGATGTGTTGTTCATTGCTGGATCAGCAGCAATTTTGTTGTTCATTGTCGGCATCAGTTCAGCACGCTGTGTATGTATCATTTTGTGATCAGTACAGCCGTGTGTCGTATCATTGCTGGATCGCAGAGCACGTGTGTTGTTCATTGCTGGATCAGCAGAACGTGTGTTGTCTCATACTTGCTGGATCCAGCAGCACGTGTGTTGTTCATTGCTGCGTCAGCAGCACGTGTTGTTCATTGCTGGATCATGCAGCACGTTGTGTTTGTTCATTGCTGGATCAGTCAGCAAGTGTGTTGGTCATTGTGGATTTTCAAAGCCAGCACGTGTGTTGTTCATTGCTGCGTCAGCAGCAGAATGTGTTAGTTCATGCTGGATCAGCAGCAAGGGTTGTTGTTTCATTGCTGGAAGCAGGCAGCGTGTGTTGTTCATTGTGGAACAGCATCATGCGTGTTGATGATTTCTGGACACATTGTTCGTTGTTTGGGGGGGTTACATGCGTGGTCGTTCGTGTGCGCGGGGCGACTGTTGGCTTATGCTACGGTCGCCGTGTTTCTCATTCTTGTCTCCGGGCAGGTTTCTTCATCGATCTGAGTCAACATCAAGCAGGTGTATCGATCGCTGCAAGGCGTGTGAGTGGTTCGTCCTCGAACAGTACGGTAGTAACATACGTCACCACCTGTGGCCAATGAGGCTGTGCAGGCGGCGTGCCGTGGCTGGCTTGGTTGGGTGCTGGCGCCCCTGGTGGTGCAGTGTGTGGTTTATCGCGCTGCAGGTATTGTTATCAGACAGCAGGTTCGTGGGCGTCGTGTGAGAGCTCGAGAAATCTATTGTTCTTATTATGTCGACACTTATCTCTGCGTGTTAGCCAGGCTTTTGTGAGCACGTGTTATGATCATCCTTGGTTCTCAACAGTTCCTTGAAAATCTTTGTGAATGTGAACGGGGAAGTCCTTTGGGAAGTACTTGATTTTAGTAGAATGGTTGGATTTTGTGCTGCTGAAAAGTCTTGAATTTCATGAAATGCTTCTTGAATTGCATCTCAAACAGAATGTCTTGATATTTTGTAGAAAATCTTGCCTGTATTAAGATTTGTGTCCATCTAATAATGTGACAAACCTCAATTAACATTGCAATTAATGGCTTATAAAAGGATTGACACATAGACGTTAAATGATGATCAAATTACAGTACACCTCATTAAAATCAGTCAGTAAAATTCGAGAGACATGATACAGATGCGTGGCACGCTTTGCTGTTTGTCCTAAGCCGGGTCGCAGCGGATGAGAAGCGCAGTTTCGCGCGGGATATGCGCACTGCGACGAGGGGGATGCTTCAAGTTGAAGCGGCTGTCGCAGTGGAGACGTGCGCCAAATTCGAGGCCGGGCCGTTCTCCACAGCTGGTCATGGGATGGTCTGTAGTTTTAGAAGATACAATGCATTATATGGACGATATTCTAGAAATT